TTTTCCTTTCCTTCTTCTTTCCTCTCTCTTTATCTCAGATTTTACACTAGCCATTCCCATAGTTAAATGTGATATGCAAATTTGTATTTGTATTAATTTTTATCATTATTATTTGTATTGTTATTTATTTTATTTTATTTTTTTTTAATTTATCTTTTTTTTATAATTTTCCTCAACATTTTCTTTCATTTAATTTTTGTATCCAATTTAGTTCTTATTCTTTTGATTACTATTTTTTATTTTTTTGATTTAATTTATTTTTAGTTTATTCCTTTGTTACTTTCATTAATTTAATTCTTATACCATACTTAGTTATTATTAATTTGATTACTATTTATTTTATTTTTTAATTTTAAATGATTAATAATTTTACTTCATAATTTTTTCATGTTTATCTTTTATAAAGTAATCCCGATCTCATTACTCATGTCATAGGGTTTGAAAATAAGTTTAATTTGACTTTGATTTTTTTAGATTTTTTTTTAAATGAATATAATTTTTGCTTCAATTTCATTATTTGACATTAGATTATTGGGCTTTTACCTTTGTTATTTTTGCTATTTTTGTTTAATGAGATTATCCTAATCTTATATTTTAGATTGTTAGTTAATCAAGTTAATTCAAGTTGATTTTTTTTAATTTCACCTTTAATCATTTAGTTTCCTTAAGAGTTGATTTCTATTTTTATTTAATTTCTACTAAATAAGGTTTTTTTAGTTTTTTATTAAAATTATTTTTTTATTTTATCCTTTAATATTAATTTGTTAGTAATTAAAATTTTTTATTTATAAAATTATCTCAATCTGATATAATTTTTATTTTATTATCAAATAATATCATTAAGATATTTTAATTACATGTAAAAGATATTTTTTTATAATATAAACAAGCTTATTTTTCTCTACGAATCATTCCATTTAGATCTCAAGTTTTTCTTACCCATTTACAATCATTTTGAAAAGAAAAAAAAGTTGGAAAAAATTTGATATATATATATATATATATATGGTTGTGCACTCCTTAAAACGACAGATAATATATTATCCCCAACGCCAATGTTTTCTGAACGAGGTGACCAAACAATTAGAGATTTTTTCATCTACCATTCAGAACAAACTTTAAGAATGATTGTTAAGGTTCTATTTAAAAAACAAATTAACATGGACAAACTTATGACATTGAATGAGTTTTTATTTTTTAGATATGGTTGGAATTGTTTTTTAAAATATTTTTTATTTAGAAATGTATTAAAATAATTTTTATATTTTTCAAAACTATTTTTGACATTAGAACATCAAAATAATTTGAAAATATAAAAAAATTACTAATTTGAAATAATAATAATAATAATAATTTAAACATTTTTTAAAACATTTTTAAAATAAAAAAATAAAGTTTAAGCTCAAGTTGGAATATTCTAATTTTTTCTATGCATATCTTCCATTATGAAAAACATTGTCTTTTATAAACATACCAAAGCAGCGTCCACTCACGACTAAATGCTTGTTTGAAAATATAGTTATGATTATTTTTTAAAGTTTTTTTCATGTTAAAATATATTAAAATGATATGTTTTTTTTATTTTTAAAAAATTATTTTTGAGATCAGCGTATCATAATAATCCAAAACATATAAAAAATTTAATTTTTAATAAAAAATTATTATTTTTTAAATGTGGATTGACCTGCATTTTCAAACGTTCCCTAAGACCAACACCACCCCATAAGAAAAATAATTTATACTAATATTAAAAATAAATTAAAAAAATATTTTGATATATTTTTAAATAAAAATATTTATAAATAAGAAAAAAATTAACACTCCTCTCTGTTTGCCTTAAGTAAAATAGGCATAGCCTATATTTGTGTTTATTTTTATGATGATATTATGTTGAAAAAAAATAATTTTTTATTAAATTGGTTTAATATGCTGATATTAAAAATAAATTTTAAAAAATTAAAAAAATAATTATTTTAATATATTTTTAAATAAAATAATTTTAAAAACAATATATTGTAAACCTATACTTACCATTCCATGAAATACACAAAATTTTCATGAAGCTTGTTATACTCAAATTTTAATCCATTTGTCTTTTAATATAATTTTAAGGGGTTTAAAATTTGAAATTAAAAAGATTAGAGGCTTATATGTAAAATTTGAAAACTGCAAAGATAAAATTGAAAAATGGTCAACTTCAGTCCAAAATAGCACCACTTCAACTATGCACAATTTCTTCTTCTTCTTTCTTTAGTGTTGCAAACCCACCTCCAAAGAAGAGCAAAAATATGAAATGACACCGTCCCAATCCTGCTAAAATACAAAGACTAATCCCTATTCTCGTGAAGACAAATGCCCTGGAAAGATAAGGATCGAGCTCAAGTATTTGAATCCTAATGAAATACCAACAAATCCCTCCTAGCCGTGCTTATCCAAAGGCAAGTTATGCACGAAGAGAAGACCAGGCACGTCCCCTGTAAATACAGAGCTTTGGGGATGAAACGAGGGGGAGGAAACATAAGGGTGAACAAAAAGGAACCAAAGGAAAAGAGAATCCATAACATAAAGAAAACACCGGGGTAGGAAAAAAGGAACGTTCTTCAGACAAAACCATCGCTTCCATCTTTGTTGTTGTCTTCACCTTTGTCATCAACAGGTAAGGCCTTCCTTTTTCGTTGTTTCTACATCTTCTATTGTAAAAGAAGAAAGTAGGGCGAAGGTAATTTAATTCAATTACCTTCACCCTGTGCAGCGCACGCGTGGTTTAAACCAGGTGTGCCTGCTACCCAACCGGGTCATTGGCTTGGGCCTGTTGGGCTAACCAAGTCCTATAAAAAGAAAGCCCAAACTCGGCCCAAAGCATGTTTGTTAAAGATGTGTTTAACAAAACACATCCTTCTACCTTAGCCATAATTTTTATGCTTTTGTTAATTTGATATTTGACCAAATGAATCCCTTTTCAATATCAAAAAATTCCAAAAATATTTGAGGATTTTTCAATATCAGCACTTTGATATTTTTTTTCTTTGCATTTTGTATATTTTTTAGTTATGTGCTCAATCTGTGACCTATTATTATTAAATGCAAATATATCTGACTATGCTTTTTTACTTCCATCTAAAAAGGATAAATAAGAAAAAAATAACATAGAAAATTTCTTCTTCAAATTTATTTTTCATAAAAATATTTACTGATATCAGAGTTAGGAGTATTGTATTTTTGGATTGATATGATATTTACCAACGCAAAAGTTGGAAATATTTGTAAAAATTGTTCATTGATACTAGAGTTAAGAACATGAAAAGAAGAAAAAAAAAGAAAAAAAAAGAGAATAAATTCTTAGCAATTTTAGATAAAATTAGCAATATAGCTTGCTTTAAATAGGACGCTTAAAGGATGATAGTATCTTTCTTTTTGTGTAACTAATACCGTAAAAAGAAAGCCCATACCCGGCCCAAAGCATGTTTGTTAAAGATGTGTTTAACAAAACACATCCTTCTACCTTAGCCATAATTTTTATGCTTTTGTTAATTTGATATTTGACCAAATGAATCCCTTTTCAATATCAAAAAATTCCAAAAATATTTGAGGATTTTTCAATATCAGCACTTTGATTTTTTTTTTCTTTGCATTTTGTATATTTTTTAGTTATGTGCTCAATCTGTGACCTATTATTATTAAATGCAAATATATCGGACTATGCTTTTTTACTTCCATCTAAAAAGGATAAATAAGAAAAAAATAACATAGAAAATTTTTTCTTCAAATTTATTTTTTGTGAAAATATTCACTGATATCAGAGTTAGGCATATCGTATTTTTGGATTGATATGATATTTACCAACGCAAAAGTTGGAAATATTTGTAAAAATTGTTCATTGATACTAGAGTTAAGAACATGAAAAGAAGAAAAAAAAAGAAAAAAAAAGAGAATAAATTCTTAGCAATTTTAGATAAAATTAGCAATATAGCTTGTTTTAAATAGGATGCTTAAAGAATGATAACATTTTTTTTTACGTAACTAATACTGTAATATAGAATCTTTATTGATCAGTTAAAATTTCTAATAACTATAATATTAAATAATAACTATTTAAATAAGATATTTTCTTCTCAAATACTAAATATCTATTTTTTTGATTTAAAATTAATTTTTAATCAATTACTGTAATATCCCGGTGTGACAAAGCTTTCTAGGAAGCATGAAATCACAATATGGGTTGGTGGATTGCCTATTTTGGATGCGTCAGTCACACTTGCTCCAATAATCGCCAAAAGCTACTTGTAACACCCAAATCAACTACCACAATTCTCGGCTACCCCATTATCATTTTTCTTTTCTTTAACCAATCACCCTTCACCACCATCATTTTTATCATTATTATTATCCTAACCACCATCATCATTGCAAACTCCAGACAACGACAACTACTTCCACCACCCCTGCAATTATAACAGTAACCATCACCAAACAACAACCAACAACCAACGATAAAACACTCCTCCACGAACATTATATTTCTAGCATTATTACTTTTTAAATAATTTATAATTTATAGAATCTGTTTATTTTTATATTTTAAAAATATTTTAAAAAAAATTAAAATATTTTTATTTTATTTTCAATTAATATTTTTAATTATTTTGATATGTTAAAGTTAAAAATAATTTTTAAAAAATAAAAAAATTATTTTAATAAATTTTTAATAAAAATATTTTAAAAAATAATTACAACAAATTAGCAATGCACATGCACAGAAAATCAATAATTCTTTATAATACCACATTAACAAAAATAAAATGTAAGAAAGAAACCAAATTGAGAGAGAAAATCCAACACAAACATTGAAAAAGAAAACAGGTGACCTTGAAGTTTTGGCTACAACTTACAACCAAACATCAAATGACAAATAGCTCAATTTTACCAATTTTTTTTTTTATAAAAAAAGCTCCTCTCTCTCTCTCTAATCACGTCTTAATCCCTCTAGTAACAAAATTAACCACGATAATCAATGATTAACTCCATAATCATCTGTGAGCCGTGACAAGGGTCTCAATAAACCTTAACCCGTCAAATCTTTTCTCAAATTCCTCCTTCTTAAACCCACCATTTTTCTCCATTGATAACGATCTTGATGAACCCTTCAAACCAAAAAACAAAGCCCAACCGTCAGGATTCAATCAAGTTAACCATCAAATATTACGACCAGAAAAACAAAAATACCTCAGAAACCATAGGGGAAGAAGATGAGGACGAGGCTGATGTTGATGATGATGATAAAGCTACAGTGGAGGCAGTAAGAACAGGGGCAACGAGAGCGCGCGAACCCTTCATGTTTTCTTTATGGGTTTTTATATTAATCTACGGGATTTGATTTAAGAAGAGATTTTTAAGCTTTTGACGGGCGAGATCCGATGAGGTTTTCTCACCAGATCTCGACCACTACCGACGGTGGAAATTATGGTCTTTATGTGACCTTCGTTTTCACTGCTTTAGGCATTTTATATTAGGGTGGAGGTTTCCGCAACTAATGAGATTTAAAGCTGTTATTGTATTTTTAAAATGTTTTTTTTTTAAATTAAAATTAAAAATTTTTAGATTGTTTTATTAGGTTAATATTAAAAATAAATTTAAAAAATAAAAAAAATATTATTTTCATAAATTTTTAAATAAAAAATATTTAAAAAAAATACTATAGAACACCAAAAAAAAACTCTAAATTTTGCTTTAAGTTTTGTCTCACGTTGATTTTCAATGCAAAAGATCTTCAAAAGTAATCAAGGTGTATCATACCTATCATCCCCAATGCAAGTAAATCACTTGTATTTTTTTGAAAAACATGTGCGGTTTATTTTGACTATTGTTGATAGTTTTTTTTTTATATTATTAAATTTATTTTATTAATATTTTTTTAATAATATTATAATTAAAGTTTTATATGTCTCCGAGCATTTTTTTGCTCCAACCACTTTTCACATCTGCCAACCCTTTTTAATTTCTTGGAACATGACGTGTTTTTCATTAGTGACATGTTAAATTATCAAGTATTTTAATCATGACAAGTATGATATTTTACTAAAACTTTTTAAATCATGTTATTTTATTAATTTTAAACAATACTAATTTAAATAAAACTTTTTTTTTCTTTTGGTTTTTCCCTTCTCTTATCTGCTTTATTCTCTTTCTTTTGCTGCCTTTCTTTTTATGCCTCTTCTCTGCCTCTGTATTTATAGGTAGAGAAGGGCGGTGAAATGACTAGGGCAGCCACTGTGCTGTATTTATAGGTAAAGAAGGTGGTGAAATGGCTAGGACAGCCACTGTGCTGCCACCCCAGAACTGCTTTGGGATGCATCTTTTCTTCTTTCACCATGCGGCAGGCAAGTGAGGAGTTTTCTCGGTGTCTTCTTAGTGGTTTTAGAGAAAGAGGGAGCGGGCAAAACAAGGGAGAAAACTTTTCTTCTTCCCCTGTTCTTTACACATCTAGGGGAAGAAGAAGACTAGATAAAAAATAGAGAAATGGTTGAATTGTAATGGATAACCTACCTTAAATGGAAAAAAAAAAGTGGTCATATTGTAATGGGTGACCTACCTAGATGCAGGAATGGTTTGATTATAATGAGTGACCTACCCAAATAAAATCATAGAGAAGTGGTTGAATTGTAATAGGTGATCTACCCAAAATAAAAAAAAAGGAAAGAATAGTCGTGTTGTAATGGGTGACCTACTTAAGTGGAGGAATCGTCTCATTATAATAGGTGACCTATCTAGATAAAAATATGGAGAAATGGACGAATTATAACGGGTAACCTACCCAAGTGGAGGAATGGTCTCATTGTAATAGGTGACCTATCCAGATAAAAATATGGAGAAATGGACGAATTATAATAGGTGACCTATCCAATATGAAAAAAAAAAGAGTGATCGTGTTGTAATGGGTGACATACCCAGATAAAAACATGGAGAATGGTTCAATTATAATAGGTGATTTACCTAGAAAAAGATGGCGAAGGCTCAAAGGCGTGCTAAAAAAGAAGGTAGGGTTAGAAAACACATTGTTTAAATGGTGAGGGTTTAAAAGAGCACTCAAAAGGAGGCAGGATTAGAAAATACACTACCTAAGTAATGAGGGCTCAAAGGCGCACTCAAAAGGAGGCAGAGTCATAAAATACACTACCTAAAAGGTGAGAGCTCAAAGGCTCACTCAAAAGAAAGTGAGGGCTCAAATACACACTAAAAAAGAAGATAGGGTTAGAAAACATACTATTTAAATAGTGAGGGCTTAAAGGCACAGTAAAAAAAATAAGGGCTTAAAAGCGCATTAAAAAAGAAAAATGTAGGGTTAGAAAATGTACTATCTAAGAGTTGGATTACCAATTTGCTAAAAAGTTGAAAACCATGCAGTAATGATTGATATGCATATATACTTACTTGAGAAATATAGATTCCCATTTCTTTACGGTGTCTTTTTTTTCTTAAAAGTTAGAGTGTTGGTAGTAAACTTTGATGACCTTTACCCCCCAAGTGTTCATATTGAGTTTTCTTTAGGGACAAGGCTATATGAAAGAAAGTTTGGGTTATTTATAAGAAAATGTTTCAATGCAAATTTTTAAAACTTCCAAGTTATTCCAACCATAAAAATCATTTTGACATTGGGTCAAAATAAACTTGTTCCAAATGATCAAGCGATTCTTATTGACAGGCTCTTGAAGTGATGAAAATGTGTTCAAGCTTTTGGGTTAAAGATGGAGTGACATCTAGTTGGTTATAAAAAGTTGAAATTTCAATTTAAAGGTTATTGAGAACCGAATTGGTTTAAAATATTTATTTTATTTGTATGAATAATGATTTGACTCGCACGAGAAAGCATTACTTACTGATACACATTGCTTTCCTTTGATTAGAAAGGGCTTTATCAGGTACGTAATGTAGGCTTTAACTATTTGTTATGAAGAAAATAATATTTTATAGGCTCAAAAAAGTGTTTGAGCGATTTCAAGACTAAGGATCACTTGTGCTTATTCCCTGACCTTTTCTTTTGACTTTCTTGCCAAAATGGATTTCATGTCCCCTAATGTCGGGTTTGGGCTCTTTCTCTTTTTTCTTCTTTTTTTTTTCACTTTTGTTTGGTGGAGCATAATCACCTCAATTGTTTTTATGAGAAGTTTAAATCTTTTGAATCCTTTGGATTTTTTAATCAAATTACATGATCAATTCTAACAACTATCTTCACTGCTTTGTGACACGACTAAAAGAATGATATCTTCTTCCAAGTGCAAGAGTGCCCAAGTAATAAATAATCCGGTAAGACTATGGTCAAACCACAGGGAGGTTAATTGTATAAATTATAGATGACAATAACAACAACAACAATAATAATAACAATAATAATACCAGTAGTAGTAGTAGTAGTAATAATAATAAAGAAAAAAAAGAGATGATGAGAACTTGGAGATAGAATATTAATGTAAGGATTAAACAATGATAATAACAAATGTCAAGGTTAGAGGTTTCACTAATGGTATGTCAAACAAGTATAGTATAAACTCTTATTATTCA